GGATGATCGACGCATAGAAGAATTTGGATTTTTGGAGTATCTTGCTCAGGAATTCAGTCCTTCTAACACTATTTATATAAATCAAAAAGTCCCTTCCAAGTTTTGGGTTCCCAGCTTGCATACAATTTCATTCAACTCTCATGCCTTATTCTTTTCACTTAAAATACTAGTCAGACCTGAGAACTGTCTTCCATTTCTGAATTCTCAAGTTGAATCAGGTTAAGGCTGTGGGGGAGGGTGGGGACACACCCTTACGCAAAAAGGAAACTCCCAACTCCAAAATAAACACAAAACCGCACAAAAATGCCCTTTACGAGCGCTTTATTTGTGCTGGGATTACACAGCAGGGTGAGGCTCCTGGGTGGCACTGAGCCCCGTTTCCTGGTAACCCATCCTGTGGAAGGCAAGTCTGAAGGCACATCAGGCGCTTCCTGGTGCTGAGGGGCAGTCAGCCCGGGCGTCCCTTCCGTCCCTGTAAACGCAGGGCAACGGCGTCTGCCTTCCCCTACCCACCACGCCAGCAGGCCTTTCGTGGAGAACTTACACCACACACCAGGATGGTATTCACTGTGCTGAGGCAGAGAGCTTACCTCTCGGAAGTGAACGTTTCTTGGGTTAGCTTTTAGTTCAGGTGGCCTCCCCACTGAGCCCACTATGGCCATCTCCCAGTAGATGGTGGGCCCTTGGAAAACAGGTACTATATCACATTGATGTTTGTCACTCTACGCTCAGGCATAAAATAATCCCTCAATAAATATTCACATCACTGAATTGAAATCTATCTGCAACCTCTTTTGCTTTTTCCAGGTGACACAAAAGGGCCTTTGCCAGCCATGCATGCACTTGGTCTTACTAAGGCATTCATTCATTCNAAATATTCACATCACTGAATTGAAATCTACCTGCAACCTCTTTTGCTTTTTCCAGGTGACACAAAAGGGCCTTTGCCAGCCATGCATGCACTTGGTCTTACTAAGGCATTCATTCATTCGTTTACTTATTTGCTCAACACTGAGTAACTTGTCATGTGTCAGTCACTGTACTAGACACACACAGCAGAAAGTGATTCACGGCAATAAATGTGCTCAGCAATAGTCTGTACAAAGGGCAACGGAAGCAGCGAGGCAGGTTAGTTCTCAGTTAGGCTTTGGGAGGTGGCGGTGATGGGAAAGTCTTCCCAGAGGAAATGGTGTCTCTGCTGGGCCTCAAAGGATGAGCAGGAAGTCCACAGGCAGAGAAAAGTCCACCCAGCAGCCTCCTGGGTGGGAACAGCATGGACAGAGGAGGAGAGAGGCCAGAACGGTGTCCGTGGTCNGGAGAGCAGCAGCCTCCTGGGTGGGAACAGCATGGACAGAGGAGGAGAGAGGCCAGAACGGTGTCCGTGGTCTTGTTGCCTGGGGCTCGGGTTTTCGAGTGGGAAAGGTGGATGCGGCCAGAGTCAAGGCTAAGGCGGCCTAAGAAAGGCCTGAAAGCCATGCTGAGAATGGGGACATTTATCCTATGGGTGATAAGGATCCATCCCAGGTTTCTGGGCAATACCATGCCAGGATCTGTTTACCAAGACTGCTGGTCAACATTAACTTGTCCAATCATCTGCTTTCTGCCACAAAGCTGAGAGCATGTTGTAAGCAAGGACAGAGCCTCAGCATCCCCAGCACAATGGCTACACAAAGGAGTAGAGGTCATTCATATTCCAAAGGCGGCCCAGAGAGCTGGCCTCCCTACAGCACCTGGTCCCTCAAGCTGGGAAGTGGGAGTGGAGAACAGGTCCTGGGTAGGAACACAGACACAATGTGGTGGCCATGCCCATGGGGCAGCCTAGCTAGCCTGGCTTCCTTGATGAGGCAGAGTAAAAGAGTAACAGAATAAAAGAGGAGAGGAAAACAGAGCCCCTCATTGAAAGTGAAGACCAGGAATAAAAATGTACTCATATATGCCCGGCAGACATGGCCCAGTGGTTGAGCATCGACCTGTGATCCAGGAGATCGTGGTTCAATTCCCAGTCAGGGCACATGCCTGGGTTGTGGGCTTGATCCCCAGTTGGGGGGTGTAGGAGGCAGCCAATCAATGACTCATCATTGATGTTTCTATCTCTCTCTCTCCCTCTCCCTTCCTCTCTCTGAAATCAATAAAGACATATTTTTTAAAAATGTACCCATATAAAATGAATTTTATATGGTAGGAAACAACTGGGAACCAAGAAACCCCCTCTACACTGGATCTTCTCCATAATCTCCTCCCTCCAGCTGGCGGGAAGTCTCAGCGAGGGGCACCCATACGCATATTGTGGCTCCAGGAAGTGTCTACGCAATCATGAGGTCATCTTGCTGAATTCCAGCTACTTATCACTTCCTGAAATTGCCTAGCTGGGTCCAGGCCAAGGGACCCACTGGTCGGGGAGTCAGAAGGCCCAGAGTCCACACAACTCTAAGGATACAAGGCTGGGGTGGGCCTTAGCAGCATCCGCACCTTACATGCATCCAGGAGAAACCCAGACTCTCCATATTATGGAAAATGCCCAGACTGAGCCCAGGAGCCAGACAAGATCCTCCACCAGCAGCCCCACCTAGCAACCAATCTCAGCTCTCTACTGGACGATTCTGAACAGCACTAGCAGGCTTTGTTTTCCTAGACTATTGGGGCCCAAAACACTGTAACAAGAGTTGTGTTTTCTTTTCCTCTGTTCTGGGCAGGAAAATACCACCACCAGCTACTATTACAGAGATGGTATTTGGTATTCAGCACTTCACGCTACTTCTCTCTAACCCTTACAACAGCTCTGCCAGGCAGGTATTATTATTTGCATCGAAGCTGAAAAACTGAGGTTCAGTTGTATCCTGGTATTCAGTACAGAGAGACTCAAACCCCAACCTGGCTAACTCCCAGCCAGCACTCCCCTACCACCACTGAGGGCTGCCACAGAAGCAAACTAAACAGCAGGCGCCCACTGTAGTCATGGGGCCTGCAGGCCTCCACAACTCCTTCCTACCTCCACCAGACCCACTAGAGAACAGACAAAGGAGCCCATTTTGAAGTCGGTCTCCTGGAGCCAGCAAGGACATGAAAACAAGCTAATTGTCCATAGTATCACCAGGAAGGAGGCCCAGGTATAATCCAGGTAGAGCATTTCCTGCTTGGTGTACGACCACACTGAAATCCAAAGGTCTGCCCGGGCCACACCCTCCTTGGTGACCCCCAACTTTTACCCCTTGACACTTAAGTGATGCTCTCTGTAAAACGTCTTCTGTTGGAGGAATTCAATGTATTGAGAGACGATGACAATCGGCATAAGGAGGGGGAACCATGTTGAGGGGACTCCCAACAGGTCACCTCACAATGCAGAACCAGCGCGGGGGTAAGATCCATGTGCCAGAACTGAGCCCGCGCTCTGGGGCAGTCGCTGTGAGAGCATGGGCATGCCATACCCTCTGCCAGTCCCCTAAACCAGAACTTGGGTGTCATCCTGGACCCTGCTCTCTCCTTCATCTCCCACATTTAACTAGGCACCGATCAATCCTCAGATCAACCTCTAAAATAGGTCTTAAATCTCTCCCCTCCTCGAATTAGTTTGATACTGGCTACATCTCACCTGATTAATGCACTAGCCTCCTTGCTGGGACCCCAGCCTCCAGGCTGCCACCATTCCCTCCATTCTCCTGGTCAGAGGGATCCTTCTGAAACACACACCTGCTTACCTCACCTCCGTGCTCACCTGGCCCCCTGTACTCCTCAAGGTAAGGTCCCACCTCCTTGGCTTAGTTCCCACGCCCTCATGTCTGCCTCCTGCTCTCCTGACTTCTTCTCTGGCCATTCAACACATTCACCCTTTGCTTGTACTTCCCTGAATGCATTGTGCTATTTGGGGACCATGTACACTGCTGGCCTCTCTTCCTAAGGAGGCCCTTCCCCTATGATAATGCCTGCCCGTCCTTCAAAACTCAACTCAAAGACCACCTTCTCCAGGAAGCCCTCCCAAATACCCTAGTCTGACTTAGATGTCCCCTCCTTGAGGCTCCCCAGCCCCCCTGCACTTCCCTCTATCACAGCACTTAGAGTTGTTGGTCTTTCTTTTCTGTCTCCTGTACTAAGTTCCTTGAAAGAGGAACTAAACCTAGTTGGGGCCTCAGTTGATTCTGTATCTGTACAATACCCCAGGTACCCAGACAGTGCTTAAAATGTGACAAGAATTTCTGGATAGAAAAATGAGTGGGTCTCCTCCTCAGTAAACAGATCCCTCTGATCGTGGTCTAGAGAGCTTTGTGCTCTCTGTAATCCAGGTAGTGTTTCCTGCTTGGTGTACAACCACACTGAGATCCAAAGGTCTGCCCAGGCCACACCCTCCTCAGTGACCCCAGGAGCTCAGTTACTATGGGAACTGATCATTCTACTCTGACCACACTCTTGCTTTATGAAGTCCTGTGTGGTCACAGTGAACTTTCTTGACCTTGAAGAAGTTACCACAAATGATCAGTGGCCCCTAGAAGCAGTTGGATGGCCACAGTATGGGGCGGGGTGGGGGAAGGAGGCCAGTGGTCCTGGGCTCCAAGATTTACAACCTCTGGTCAAGGGATGCTGGAGGCTGTGCTGTGCTGGGTCTGCAGCCCCAGCCAACCTCAGCAGTCCCCTCTGAAGGCTTCTAGTTCTGCCTCCTCAGGAGTTAGCTCTTGCTTAGTAAGTTCAATCTTGCTACATGTGTTTGGTTTCAAGTTTCCTGTCATTGGTCTACTTATTTAAAAATGACACCCCACTCACTCCTGAGAGAGATAAGGTGTTTGTGGTCTGATTAAGAAGCTTCTTGCAGTCCAGCTATGTGAAGAAATTTTAATATGTTAAGTGAAACTGGGGAGGTAGACACTTTCTTTCTCAGGAACTCAGAGTTTTCAACTCCATGATGAGGGAGGAGGGCCACGTGGGCACTGACCTCTCTTGGCAATGCCATCAAAGAGATTGGACCCATTCTTCCTAAATCAATTCTTTTCCCTCACCATCCCCTCACTGACCTTGAGATCAAAGTGAGCAATTTTCTTTGCATGAAGGTAGTTCACTCCGTCCAGGATCTGCTTAATGAAGCTGGTGGCCTCCTCCTCACTCAGTGACTCCTTCTGGGCCAGAAAGTCAAAGAGCTCTCCTCCGGACACTCTGCAAAAAACCAGTGGGAGGGCCCAGTCAGCCCTGTGCTATGAGGCCAGGCCGATGGCTCAGTTTCTGAACCTGACGCCTGAACTCCCTGTGTGGCAGAATCCCCTTTCCCACCTCTGGGGCTTTGCCCACCAGCCAGGGGCTGACTTTCCTTCTTTGTGTTGTGTTCTTCCCTCTGGATCACAAGGGCGGGAACCATCCTGAGGGTGTCACCAGAAATGCCTCTGCTAAGGCTCTAGACCCAGGTCCCTGGTTACCCTGGGTGTCACCTCTCCCTCACATGTGACTGAGGTGGCAGAGGACAGAAACAAGTGCTGTGGGATGAAAAACAGTAACAAATGGGCCAGAAACTGGAGACCTAGGTTCCAAACCAGCCCTGCCACTGACCTTGGACAACTCACCTCCCCCGTCCAGGCAGGCCTCAGTTTCCTCACCAGCATAATGAACAGATTGAACAAGATGGCTCTTAAGCCCCTTTCTTTGATTTTATAAAACATGGCCTTTTCAAAGGTCCCTAATTTAAACATAAAGACTCATTAATTATATTCATCTCTAAAAACTACAAAATACTACTTTTGTCCTCACACTTCACACTCCTGCACCTTACAGTTGCTGTGATGGGAATGGAGACCCACAGGGCAAAAAGAATCTCCCCTGTAAATACCAGTTTACAGTTTTATCTGAATTAGGGATTCAGGATGGCCAGGTAAAACAGGAGGTTTTTATTTGCTGAATCTGACACCCCTTCTGGGCTTGGTTGTCCTCCGACAGAGGCTAAGGTATCCAGCCAGCATGTGCTTCTCTGGGGCTGGGACAGAGCCAGGGGTTACCCAGGAAAAGATTTCAGGAAGGGACCTGGGACAGGCAGTCCAGGAACTCAGGATAACCTAGAGGTCTTATTTAAAATGCAGATTCCCAGGTTCCACCACAGACCCTACCAAATTATACTCTCCAGCAGCAGGGCTTTAGAACCTGTATTTTGACAATAACAACAACATAATAGTAATTAACATTCATTGAATACTTACCCTGTGCATAATGTATACTGTATGTATATCATCTCATTTAATCATCACAATATCCTAGGAGTTAAGTACTATTATTTTTTACTTCACAGTTGAAGAAACAGAGGTTCCAAGAGGTTAAGTGATTTGCCTCAGATCACACAGCTAGTAAGTGGTTCAAACCCAGGCAGAAGACCTCTCCGCCACTATGTCATACTGAGTGTCCTCGGATGATTCTTGTACAGCCAAAATGGTTTTTATCCCAGTGTCCGGAATCACTCCCTGCCAGTGAATCTGTTCTAAGTAAAGAACATCAAAATCTTCGTTTCTCCTTTCTTTAAAAATGTCTGAAAGCACACCTGGACTTACTAATCATTCTTAGCACCATGAAAATAGAATAACAAAACTTGATGTGGTACAATAGGAAGTATACAGCAACACCTATGAAGTATTGCAGCTTAAAAAAATTGAACCTAAATCTGCTTACGCCTCTTGTTCGGTGCTGCCCACCAGAACTTCCTGCAGTGATGGAAATACCCTCTACATATGCTGTCCAATGCAGCAGCCACTAGTCACATGTGGCTACTGAGCATTTGAAATGTGGCTAGTGCAACTGAGGAACTGAATTTTACATTTTATTTGAGTTCATCTTAATTAACAAACCGAAATGATGTAAAATATTTTTCTCTAAACACAACTTGATTGCTTTGGTAGGATCGCATTTCACTCTAATGCACTGCTAATGAATTGAGACATGCTATAAGCATAAAATACTTATCCATTGGGTTTGAAGATGCAGTATGGAAAAAAAAGAACGTACAATATCTCATTAATGATGTTTACATTGATTACATGTTAAGATAATATTTTGTATATATTGGGTTAAGTAAAATATTTTATTTTATTTTTTATTGATTTCAGAGAGAAGAAGGGAGAGGGAGAGAGAAAAACATCAATGAGAGAGATTCATTGATCGGCTGCCTCCTGCATGTGCCCGACTGGGGATCAAGCCCGCAACCCGGGCATGTGCCTTGACAGAGAATTGAACCGTGATCTCCTGGATCTTAGGTCAATGCTCAACCGCTGAGCCACGCCGGTAGGGCTAAAATATTATTAAAATTAATTCACCTACTTCTTTTTACTTCTCCTTCATGTGGCTACCAGAAAACCTAAAAGTGCACGTGCGGTTTGTATTATATTTCTAGTGAACAATGTCAATAGGAAGGGTATCTAGTTTAGATCTAACTTCTAGTTTATAGGAAATACTAGAGATAGAGGGACAAGTTCATGCCACGAGGAAGGACCAAGCCAGACCCAGACTGTGAGACAATCAACGGGACAAATGACCTAGTTTTTCCAACAAATGACTGGAATCAAAAAAAAGGGAAGGAGAAATGCTATGAAATAAAACAGAAATAAGAGGCAAAAGAACCAAATGCAGTATGGGGACCTCATTCAGATGTGAATTCAAGTAAAACAACTGTAAAATGATATCTCTGGGTCTCTCGGGGAGTATCACTATTTACTGGAGCATAGGTTTACTGGAGCATAGACAGCCTTGGTGGTCCTGAGCCTAACTGGATAATTCTGTTGGGTGTAATAAACACATTTTAAAAAACTGTCATCAGCCCTGGCCAGTGTGTCTCAGGGGTTAGAGTGTCAGCCCGCACACCAAAGGGCTGTGGGCTCACTTCCTGGTCAAAGGCATGTACCTGGGTTGCAGGTTCAATTCCTGGCCGTCAGAGCATATGCAGTAGGCAACCAACTAGTGTCTCTCTCTCTGTCTTTCTCCTTCTCTCCCTTTTTCCTTTCCACTCTCTCTAAAAATCAATGGAAAAAATATCCTCAGGTGAGGATTAACAAAATATTAATTCAAAACCGTCATCAGTTAGAGATACATACTAAAGTATTTACATGTAAAATAACACAATGGCTGAGATTTGCTTTAAAAGGTTTTAAATTTAATATTTTTAATTTAATAATATTAAAATACTAAAATAAACAGTTGGAATAGGGGGAATAGGAGTTTTATATAAAACAAGATTGGCAAAATCTTGCCAACTCATAGCTGGGTGATGGGCATCTGAGGGCTCCTTCCTCTCTCTACTTTTGTATATATGTCTGAAATTCTCTAAAACAGAAGCAAGTAACAAACTTCCAGAGGAAGAGTCTCCACATTCTCCCTCGGCCCACCTCCCACATAATGACTATCGCCACATGGAAGTTCTTCCATAACAGATGAGGAAACTGAGGCCCACAGGAGGGGAACTGGCCATGCAAGGTGTCCCAGCAAGGGAATTGATCGTCAGGACCATGTCCAAACCCTGGCCATGTTCTAATGTTGTCTCCATGTACTAGCGTGCAACTGGGACTAGTTGCCCTAACTCTCAGCAATGTCTTTCAGGAATTGGGGGTAACAAGAATGTCTACATGCTGGGCTTGTTCTGACCAGCAAATTAGCCAGTGCACCAGGCAGGTATCCTGGCACAGCAACTGGCACACTACAGCACTCCATCCATGGGGACTTCTGTTATGATGTTATTATTTGTGTTACATGTGGTTAGCACCAGCTCAAGTGGAGGGAGAAGGTGCTAGTGGAATGCAGTGAGACTTGGCTAGAGGAAGCAGAGAATGACAACAGGTGTGACAGGCAAGGAGACAGGACAAGCAAAGGCCCAGAGATGGGGACAAGCATGGGGCATGTATGTGGCATTAAGTCCCTGTGCCCCGGCCAGCTTTGGAAGCGAGGTGTGGGCCTGCTGGAATGCTGCTTCTGCCACTTACTAGCAAGTCACTCTCCACCTCAGTCTTTTCTCATCTGTCAAATGGAGCTAAAATTATCTCCCTTAAGTAGATGGACAAATGTCAGAAGTAAATGTGCCTGCTGGGCTGTGAGCTTCTCAGGGCAGGAGCCACGAATTAGGTATGTCTAGTGTCTACCACATAATAGATGGTGAGTAAATACTTAGAGAAAGAGGGAGGGGACAAAAAAGAGAGAAGGGGGAAGGTGAAAGGGTGAAGAGAGGTGCAATAAGATGGCACGTGCAAGCGTATTGTCTGCAAGAGCTGCAGTACCTCTACTCAGAGTGAGCTGGATGGGGCCCAAAGAGGCTTTCTGGGTGTGTGGAAAGAGGCTGGTGCACTATTTCCCCATGTGTCTTGCGGGTGAGGTCATCCTCTGCCCCACCCCTACCTGGGGCAGGTGCTGGAACCAGAGCACCCTCACAGTTGCTGAAGAGTGTGGGATGACACTGGTGCACTATTTCCCCATGTGTCTCCAGGGTGAGGTCATCCTCTGCCCCACCCCTACCCGGGGCAGGTGCTGGAACTGAAGCAACCTCAAAGTTGCTAAAGGAGTAACCCTGAGTGTGTTCTTCAGGCTCAGGTTCAAAGGGCCAGGACTGTGGCTCCAATCCTTCCCCAATATAGGCTCGACCTGCACCCTGACGAGGGGAATATGAGAGTCCCAGAGCCTAGCTTTTCTTCTTGTAAAATGGGAATAAGAAGAAAAAAGAAAAAAAAGTCCAATGGCCCCCTTTGGAAGGAGGTAGTGGGGAGAATTTTGCAAAATTGGACAAGTGCTATGAGGTCCTCAATGAAGTCCTTGAGTAAATACCATGCACTACATCATTGCCAGGGGTTACCATGGTGGATGGCTTGGTTTAGAGTTTATTTAGAGTTTGCCACGTACTTCCTCAAGCGTTCTGTCATTTGAGACTCACATCCACCCTGAGGGGTAGATAGAACTTGTCAGAAAACTGAATCCCTCCAAAGAGAAAGTGACTAGCCCAAGGTCTCACAGCTAATAAGTGGCACAACCATGATTTAGACAGATCTTCTCAGCTCGTCCACCATGTTATAAAGCTAGAGCTGCTGATGTGAAAAGGAAAACTCAAAGCCACCCCAAGCACTGGGCACATCCTCTGACCTCCCTGCTCAGCAGCAGCCATGCCCTCATCACCCTGGGTATCATTATCTCTGTCTCCCCAGCTAGATTTTCTTTCCTTCCACAGCACCCTGTGCAAGAGAGACATTCAAGGTAGATGAATAAAAGAACAAAGAAAAAATTTTTAAATATAAACATAACACAGAATAGTCTAGATCATAGAGAAGTGAAGCCTTGGCGTTTGCAAGAGACCTGTATAGAGCCCTTGGCAAATTTTCAAATCCATAATGCCCCCTCTCAAACACAGAGGACCCAGCAGCCCTTGCTTTTTAATACTCCCAGGCCCTGCTGGGTCCTGTGAGGCTGTGAGCTTGGCCACAGCTTACCATTTCTACCTTAGATGGAATACTGCATAAATGTAAAAGAATATCATGGTGATGTGGACGGTCCTGTCACCCAAAGCCCCTGATGTGAAGGTGATGTGATGACTCTGGGGGACAGGAGACCGGGTGAGAACATATCTCTTTTGACTAACGAAGGGAATAGCCACAGTGTCCCTTAGACTCTCCCTCATAGACTCAGAAAGGTGGGAGGTTGATGAGCCTGCAGCGTCCTGGACGCCCAGGCTGGGAACATTCATGTCAATGCTTGGGTAACTCTTCTCAAGGTTCTGTTCATTTTTCCCCTAACATAGTTTCTCCCCACAGCTTCTCAGCCCCAAGACCTCCTCCCTGGAGCCATTCCCCACCTCCCTTCCAAGCTTCTCTCCTCTTATATCCCAAATCTGTTTAGTTTAAAGATGAAAAGCAAAACCTAACAGCCTGGGCCTCCTCTGCTCTCCCTCCAGAGTCCCCAGGACCAGTCCCATTCCTGCTAATCTGACCTTTGCCTCCTTCCTCCCTGCAGGTTGGTCTCCCTGCTAGAAACACTTTTCAGAACTCTTGGGAATGTGTTTTCAAACGACCTGTAGTCAGTGATTTGAAGAATGCTGACCCATCCGTTGGGGCCGAAGAAGCTGGACTCGATTTGGGGAACTGGGAAGCACTGCCTCGCCTTGGAGCCCTCTGCCAGGCCGTTCTCCAGTATGCAGCTGCCAGGGTCCCGCTTTCCACTCGCTTAGAGTCAAGGAGGCCCCAGAGCGGTCAGGGCCCTGGGATGGGAGACCCGCCCAGTCCTCCCAGGGCAGACATGTTTTTCAGAGCAAGCTTCACATGTGACGTGAGTTAATTTCTTGAGCTTTTGAAAACATTCTTTACATCATACAGAAATCAATTTATATGGACAACTAAATCCTTCCCAGTCTGGCCTTCAACAGCCCTGACCAGAGGCAGCTGCCTCTAAGGTGGTCATGTGCGAGGTAATAACAGCTGAAAGGGACTTAAATCAGGACTGGGCATGTCCTTTAGCAGAAATCAGGAGGAAGCCCACAGCAGAAGACAGGAGCTGAGAGGGGCAGTGGTATCAGCATGGTCCCATCCACAAAACCTGCAAATTGCAACTGAGCAGGTGGGCACTAATACCCACATTTAATTATTGGGCAAACCCACTAACCTATTAGGGCACAGTGAGGACTAACTAGGAGGCCAAAGGCTCCTGCTCAGCCTAACAGGAGTCACCAAGTTCAAACACAAAAGCCCATGGAAAGCCCTTCTCTCCCAGGAGGTCCTCCCTCTCATTCCCTGGTCATGCATGGTTTAGGCAGTCAGCAATCCCAGCACTCCATGCACAGACACCCTGAGAGCAGTGAAACAGCTGGAATGTAAAGGAGGAGACAGAGAAACTAGGAACAGACAGAATTCAACGAACATAGCAACTCAAGCAAGTCACAGGAGCACCATTGTGACAACTGACATTCTGAACAGTGACAGCTCACAAGAAGAGGGCACGTAACTGTTGGCTGACCATGAGTCCTATTGGGAGAAACAGGAACATCTCAAGATTGTTCCAGATCCCAAACCTGGGGTTCTACAAACAGGAAGAAACAGACAATTTCTCCAGCAATTATAGAAGCACCTATTAAAATGACAACAAAGTATCATTTTATAACTATACAGGTCCATAAATAATGAACCCTGTTTTAAAACAAGTGACCCAGAGCTAGCAAGACTGCAGGCAAATAGGAATGCTGCTGTGTTGCAGGTGGTACTGGGTAACCAACACCATCCTATGCAAGGGAGGGTATCGGGAGCCCTAAAAGTGTCAGCCTAGTCATCCTGGTCCTGAGGATTTATCTGAAAGAATTAATTCAAAAGAAAGGAGGAAAATTATGGGTGGAAAGTTGTTTTATGGCAATAAAATTTGTGATGATTAAAAGTTGAAAGATAAAAACTAAACAGCCAACAAGAGGGAAAGAGAGGCATGTAATTTAATGAAACATGATACAGTCAGTTAAAAGAAAAAAAAGCTATTTATGAAAGTACGTTAAATGGGGGGAAAGTAGAGCAGGAAATTCTACAAGTACAATGATTGTATACAAACGGATAAAGACTCAGAGGAACCACAAAAAAAAGCATAAATAGCTGTGTCTGGGTGGTAGGATTATGAATGTAATTTCTTCTCAGTTGCTGTAAAGTTTTTTGATAATAGACTTTTTAAAGTAGTGGCCTGGCTTTCCCAGTGAAGGTGTGCTTGTCACTCTGCTGGGAATCAATGTGCCAACTGCTGACCCTTAGCCTTAGGGCATGTCACACCTTGGGCTGTCCACATGACTTGCCACACTGTGGGAACCCACCAAGCTTATGTGGGCCAGGCAGGTACATACACCAACAAGTCCAACTGTCTGAGAGGTCCATGGGAGAAATACAGAGGACACTGGAAATTAGAGAAGGGGAGAACACAGCAACACTATGCATTTAAAAACTGAGATAATAATTTAAGAATCAAATGCAAGAGCATGCAAATGCCCATCTGCCACATAAATCTATGTCCTGGCTACACCAGAGCATAGTTCTCAAAATAGAATGATCTCAAGTGCCAGGTGGTCCACCCCACTGGCATGTTAAGGATGGCTGCCTGGTTTACAGGTGAGATCTGAAGCTCATGCAGAAAGAGGTGACTTGCCCAAGGTCACAAAGTCAAGGACTGCTGAGACAAATGTCACCATTCCTCTGCTAACTGGCAGATGCATACATGCCTACGAGGCTCAGAACATTCTCAACACGGTATCTTGCTGCTTGACTGGGCACAACTACTGTGACTGGTGCCACAGCCTAACTCAGCTCTCTTGTCTGCCAGAGCCCCACATCCCCATTCCATGAGACACCTCCAGGAGGGACAATCCCTGAGAACTTGCTGTCACCTATCCAAATTCCACCATGATGGGCCAGCGTAAGACCATCCTACCTCATGCTCACAGCTGTCTAAACAAGCAGTGTGGACTCAGGTCCTGGTGTAACCTAACCTATCTATGTAGCCTAGCAGGTAACCTAGCATAAATTAACTTTTTGTTTAGAGTTTATAACTTTGCCTTGATTGCCCTGTAACCCCACTTAGATCACCCTAAAGTTTATATGGTTAGTGTGATGCATATCTTGTCATCTGCTACGTTTCACAGAAAGACCAAGACGTAATCAGCTAAAATTCCTTCCATAACAACTGTAATCCCCGACATTATGATCGCCAGAACTGTTTTTCAGGAACAAGCCCAGGACGTTTTACAGGACCAGGGGGTGAACCAGCTGAAACCATAAGACCAGCTGAAGCAGCTTGAAGGACCCTCTAGTGACCTCCTCACAAACTTTCCTCATTATAGTCTCATTATAATACTAAAATCCCCAACCAGAGGCAGATTTCCCACCATTTTTGAACATACGATGTATGCATAGCCATGTTTCCTAACTGCCTGTGCCCTGGAATGTCCCCACCTATACACACAAGGACAGAGCTCACCTTGATGTTTATGCATGATTTCCCCCAGTAAAGACGGATCAGATGCTTTGCTTGAGGAACACACTGTTCTGGGATCCCCAGCATGTTCCTTGCTTACAAGTTCACGTGATAAAGTTCCTTCTCATAAAATCATCTCAGAGTTGTCTTTTGGCTGGTAGCTCTTGAGAGTTTGGACCCGGTTCGGTCCGGTAACACTGGCCTCCCCACTTCCTGGCTAACAGATCTGGTAAGTGACCTGGAGTCTCAGTGTTCTTGTTGGTAAAAATGGGATAAGTAGAGTCTCTGTGTGATAGGATTAGTATGAGGAATAAATGAGGTAAGAGATGTGCTTGGCACAGTTAATGCAAAGTAACCTCTCTGTGTTAGGACACTTCTCTCATCACAGTCCCTGTGAAGGCTGAGCAGATGACAAGCATGAAACATGTGGCAAATGCTCTCTAAATAACAGTTACTATAACAATAAATGCGCCACAGCACAATTGCAGTGGATTTTTCCAGGAAAGGGCTAGAGAAGGGCTTCTCAGAGCCCAAAGGACGTTTATTCTTCCCTTGGTCATAGAACAGACCCCTGACTGCCAATCTCCCCTGTTCCCCCCTCTCCCCTCCCCCATCCATCCTCCCACTTGCTTGCCAGCCAGGAAATGACCCAGCATCAGCCATTTCTTCCCTTTGATCCCCAGGGCCCAATGAAAGCCAGACCTAGACCTTTGCCCTCTGTCCCTGCAGCTTGGGCCCTGCCTTGGCCCCGGTTTAGAAGGAGGCTGGGGGTCACTGAGGGAAACCACCCACCACTGACTTCACCTCCTCTGGGGCCTGGGGCTGGAGCTTCCGCCGCCCCGCCTGCCCCTGCTGCCCACCATGGGTCCCAGCAGCCCACTCACAGCTCCAGGATGAGCACCACGTCGGTGCGGTTCTCAAAGACGTCGTGCAGCGTGATGATGTTGGGGTGCAGCACCTGCCGCAGGATGCTCACCTCCCGCTCGATGTCCTCCCGGCACACGCCCCGCCGGCTGGCCCGGCTCTGCCGCTTCTTGATGAACTTGGCTGCGTACTCCAGCCCGCTGCTCTTTTCCCGGCACTTCTTCACAATGGCAAACTGGCCGCTGTGGAGACACAGACGCACACGATTAGGGTGGCCATCAGAGTCACTCTGCCAGCACAGGACAAATCCTAGCACCAGCCAGCATCCCCACCTGGCCATCAACCAGTGGCTGAGATGGGGCAGGTACTGGGTTTCCCTTCTGTTCCTATGAATCCTGAAGGAATGTTAGTATTGTCGTTTCCAGGGTACAGATGTGAACACTGAGGCCCTGAAAGGTTATTGATTTGATCAAAATGACACAGCCTTGTCATTCCAAAGCTTCATCTAGAACCCAAGTGTGATATTCACCAGATGAAATCACAATGTCCAGAGGCTTATACTATGTAACAGAAAGATTTCAAAGGATAAACAAAAAGACTGGCATGCCCTGGCCAGGTGGCTCAGTCGGTTTGAGCATGGTCTGGCGCACCAAAAAGCTTCTAGGTTTGATTTCCAGTCAGGGCACATACCTAGGTTCAGATTCAATCCCTGGCCAGGATGCATAGGGGAGGCAACTGACCAATGTTTCTCTCTCCCTCTCCCTTTCTCTTCTCTAAAATCAATAAAAACATATCCTCAGGGGAGAATTAAAAAAAGACTGGCATGGTCAAAATACTAATGGTAACAATCATCCAGCTGAGTCTCCCATATCTGGACACAAGTACAGATTTGTCCATTGGGAATTGTGAGGTGAGTAACAAACAGCTCTATATTCTCATTTTGGCCCCTTTGCTCCCAAGCCCCTTCCAACATATAAAATCTCAATTACCTGACATGAGCCAAGGAGTTAGACAATAGGGGAACCGAACAAATATGAGGACGATGCACGTATGTAAGACAAGCCAGAGGCTCTGGGTTGGGTTGGTGGGGATCCCAGTGGGGTAGAGGTGCCCAACACTGTCAGTAACTATAGTGGGAGTTTGTCACAGTGAGAGGGGTGATGGGACCACAGAATTGTAGAATGTTTGGAAACTGAGGCACAGAAGTCAAGTTGCTCTCCTGAGGTCATCACAGAGTTAATGGCAAAGCCAGACCCCAGGGATGGGCACCTAGCCCACTGTCTACAAAGCCTCTACGATACAGGAGTCAGGGCTGGGCCTGGGAGTCCTTCACTCTGTGGACCAAGACAGCAGCCATAAAGTGATGTCCGTGCCAGAGCAGCAAGTGCCCCTGAGCCAGCTTCCCTGAGAGCTCCCAGCCCACAGGGAAGGGCAGTGGCCTCTGCTTCACTATCTCAGTCCAGGCAACCAGTGGGGCAGCTCTAAGTCCCTGTAGACTGCCCGGTGGCCAGCCTCCTCTGGGTCCTCCCACTCCCCTTCCACCATTTTCCACAATTGCCCCATGTTTTCTTTCCACCCTCAATGCTCACTGCTTGAGACAGAACTCAGCAAATCGTAGGTTAAGTTTAATGGCTTAATAAGGAGCCACCGGACTCCACACTTAGGATGTACTCTCTTAGTGGCTCTGGGGTAAAAGCTACACAATGAAATGCTCTGGAGATCTGCCTCAACCTCAGAAAATAGCATCGCATCTGAACCATTCCATTACTAGAATAATACTCAGTGAACAACCTTCAAAATAAGCCTAAGTGACCAAAAAAAAAAAAAAAGAGAGAGAGAGTCAAGTAGCACAAGCAAGGAATAAATAAGCCAACATGCTGTGGCAACCACCTTAGAGATGTCACCAGACACACATCCTCATTTCTCAATGCTGGCTGAGCATCTGCTCTGTACCAGGCTCAGTGCCGGGCAGTAAAGGGCAGGGACCAAAGGCCCAGACAACAGGTACAGAAGGAGTTCTGGGGAGGGAGAGGGCCCTGGGAGCCCGGGTGGGCAGGGAAGACTTAGTGGAGCCAAACTGATATTACACTGTCCACTAACATTGAAGTTTCAGCTATTTATGCCCCAATATTGCCTCTCGGCCGTCCATACACCCCGCTGACGCAGATGGAGTGAAGCCAGTCCTTCCAAAGCCGGAGTGAACACATTCAGCAAGATCTCTAACACAGCTGGCGACTTGGAACTACTTTGGGCCTTGGGGACATCGGGTCCTTTAGTGGGTGCCAGCAAACACTTGACGAAGCTTCCAATCCAGGCGGCTGTGAGTCTCAGTGTCAGGATGGCCACGCTCCTCTCCTCTCTCTGATACCTCAAGGGGCCTGGCATCAGCAGTCCTGACGGCAGACAAATCTCCCTCTTCCCAGCTGACTGATGAGAAACCAAAGCTTAAGGATTTTAAGCAATTTGTATAAGCTTACAGAGCACAGAGGTGGAGGCACAGGGTTTTTATAAAGCAGAAATAAATATTTCAGGTGACCCTGACATAGCTTCCTCTATTTTTATGAGGGAAACAATGGCATTTTTCTAAATCGCATGCCTGAAAAATTCCTCCAACTCTCAAAAAGCAAATGAGTGTTTGCTTTTCCCGGTTGAGTTTTCTCTTTGTGAAAGCAGCTGTGGCAATAAGAGGTGACTGGGGGTCAGGCCTAATGTACAGGCATCTTCCTCTCACCAAAAGGAGGTATTTTGAGAGTGGGTGACCAATGTGGAGTCGAATACCAGGCAATAGCTCTCATCTCCCCTCTCTTCATGGGGGTGGGGTCCTCCACTCAACCTGCCCTGGGGAGCCTCAGAAGAGTCGAGGCCACTTGCGGGTTTTCCTTTCTCCTTGGGCTGTTACTGGAAAGAATAGAGAATATGCCCCACTAGGGTCAACCCCCAGGCCATGAGGCTTTTGGCAGTGAGAACAGACTTCAAAGTCAAACAGGTCTGGTTCAGGAACTTATACTGCCACCTGGGGCAAGAGGCTACCTGCTCTGAGAATCAGTTTTCTCATCTGTAAAATGGGAATTGTGGAGCCTGGAAATACCTGTAATGCTGGCCTATAGTCGGGACTAATAAATGGTAGCTATTAAAACTACTAGTTTGTGGCTCACGTGAAGGCTGAGCAAGAGGCATTAGACACAGAAGTCACTGATTTAAATGGTCTGCAATGTGTGGCCAGGGAATCAGTGTGATTTTAAA